TCAGAAGAATTACCGAAAGAGTGATTAAAATTTTGAAAAAAAAAAGACAGTGAAAAAAAAAACTTTGCTTAAACAAAAATAATTGAAAAATTTTTCAAATTTAATAATCCAAAGCAAAAGAACTAAATATCAATCGATCTTTCACTAATATTTCCTCTTTCACAAATTGATTAAAATTTCGGAAAACATTATTGTTTAAGATAATAAAATATCTAAAACTGAAATATCAATTTTAATTTTTTATATTTTAATATGTTTGTTCTTTTAAATGCTTTTAATGCTAAAAATTATCATTTTAATATTAGAAAATTTGCAAATGATATCCAATCTAATAATAAAAACTAATTTAAACTTTTCCAAATTAAAATCTATATTTTAAATAATTCAAATAATATTATATCTGTAAGCAAATCAACAGATAAAGATAGGAAGCAAATGTTAATTAATTATTATCATATTCCATGCAAATTAAAATCAATTCATTTTGGTAACCTTTATTTACAAGTTCAAATTTGTCACCAGCAATAAATGACAATTCATCGGTATCCTGCGCTTCATACGCATATAAAGCTTCAACAAAAGGAAGCGGTTTCGGCTTTAATGGCGGCATAGGTTTTTCGGAATGTTTCATAGCATTCTGCAAATAAATACCAATAATTTGTCGCTATAAAGTTTTCATTATTATTTTGCAAAAAGTACAAATGATTAAAATAATAAGAATTTACCCGTGCATGAGTAATTCCGCTATTTCTACCAATATTCGTATTATTGTTGTTTATTATTGGATAAACACCATTTGACGTATTTACGTGTTGTGATGATGGAAATGTTTGATACGCTTTAAGAGGCATTTTACGTCTTTCATAATGTTGCTTCATTGCTATCCTTTCATTATTCAGTTCTGAAAAAAATGTCCATTTCGTGAGCTAATTCATTTATCTTCTTTTTTTTCTAAATTTATTAAATTTAGCAAATTCAATGAATTTTTAATAAGTTATGAACAAACAAGAACATAAATAGCTTTCAATATTAAAAAAAGGCAAAAAATTTACAGCTTAATTAACAAGATAATTTTCACGGCTAAAATTATGAATTTCGAATTATCATATTCCATATATCACTGCTCTATCATTATTCAGCAAGATCTATGAAAGAAATGAATGATCCAGTAAATTTCTCTCGGAAAGAATTTAAAATTACAAATGAATTTCAAACTATCTATCAAAGAACAGGAAAAAGCATACTTGTACTGCTTGATAATCCAGGTCCAATGGAAACGAATAAAATTTTTCCTTTTGGAAGCAATTGTGTACTATCTGATCCATTATCATTTCTTGAAAATTTAACAGTTCGAGAACCACCACCACCAAATCGAGTCTTCTTCAGGATAATCTGATGAGAATTATTGAAATCTAAGGATAAAATTCGTCCACCTGCCATTTTATGATACCATTTGCTACAATAAAACTATGATTAAATCTATTTGAAAGTTTATTATTATTAGTGGACAGAATTATTTTGCACTAAAATTCAAATTATCTAAGTAATAATAATTTTCTTAATGATTGGTTAAATTCATAAAATTTACTTGATAGCATTTATGAGTTCTGTTTTCAACGGTGTCTCCAGAAGTGATGTATACGAATCACGGACATTTAGAATGATAAAATTATCCTGATACGGACTTAAGCCAATGCTAGCTATATCATTGTAATCAATTTGTCGTTTTAAAATCTGAAACGAAACAGCAACAATTGTATAAATGATAGAGATTAGATAATAATTAAGAATTGTCGAACTAATAGAAAATAAAAAAAAGAGAAAAAGTATTACTACAAATGAATATCATATAAAAGAATAAATAATAATAATAATCACAATAATAATAA